GCGCTTCGCAGGCGATGGCTTGACGTTCTTCCCCCGCAGTTTTGTTGTCACATCCCGGAAGAACTTCATGTCCTCGGGCACATTCCATGGGATCGACCGCCCGTCCCCAATGCCGCCGTGCTCGTCGACCGCTACAACGAGGGAAAAGGCACGCAGTGCGAGACGTGTCCCCTCCGCCACCGTCTCCGGCATGCGGATTTTAAACAGCGACATGGTGGACGCACAAGAGAGAGAGAAGTGTAAAAGTACGTAGGACCTCTTTTCTGCTTGCCGGCCGGTTTGTGTGGATTCACTTTAAATATTATTTGTAACTCTTGTCCTTTTTTTTTTCCTCTTTTTTTCGTTTATTTATTTATTTTTGTGTGTGTTGTTTTTGTTGGGTTTTTTTTTCTTTTGATAGGAGCACAAAGAGAAGGAAGAAACAAAACCAACACACACAAAAATAAATAAATAAATAAACGAACAAAAGAGAAAAAAAAAAAAAAAAAAAGCTCTCATGACTGAATGGTAGCCGAAAGTAAAAGAAAACACCCTCCCAGTCACCCGCCTGCTTCCCAAGTCCTCAAAATAATAAATAAAATAAAATAAAATACATGCGGTACTCCCCTCCCCAACCGCACACAAATGAACAAATGTCCTCTCGTCTTCATGAAAGAGGAATCCTCCACCTAATCCCCTCCCCCACTCACATTACACACACACACACAAACAAACAAACAGGCATGTATATACGTATATGTGTATGTGTATACATATATATATATGTATACGGTGTCCAACAGCAACAAGCAATACGCAGTTTAATGGGAATCCCCATCAGGATTGGGTAATAATGAAATCGTTACAATTTTTTTCTTTTTTGATTTATTATTATTATTATTATATAAATATATTGCATTCCTTCATGTTGTTTCTTCTTTTCTTTCTTTCTTTCTTTCTTTCTTCCATCCAATATTGTTTATTGATTGTCTTTTCCGCGCCATCTCACACGCATCGTCCATATATATATATATACAGATACAGATAGATACAGATAGATACAGATAGATAGATATTGCACAACTTATATGAGTAGTAATACATAAAAAAAAAAATTTTTTTTTCTTTTAATAGATATATAACTGCACTTGTGAGTATTGGTGTGAGTGTGCGTAAGACCATATTGGAAGGCAAACGGAGAAGAAACTCAACGGGTGAATGTCTGTTGCACTTGTGAGACGTTCGTCATTCGCCTCTTCCCCCCCCCCCCCCCCCAAA